ACTCAGAATATGTGGTAGAGCAGTTTATTGTTACTCATTATTTGTTTGCAGCAGACAAAGTGTAAATTGCTCAACATAATATGGCTGTATATATTCTGTGAAAGCAATTATTGTTTGAGATTACAACAGTATCCAGGAAAAAAAGTTTTTATTCTAGCCGTGCTAACTTTTCTACATTGTGGTAAGCTTGTAAGTATCAAGATGACATGTTAATGTGGTTATAGTTAAACCCTGTTTTCACATTATTTCTCTCTAACAGGAGGAAATTGAAGGGCTCATCAGAGAAAACGAGGAGCTGAAAATGAAAAATCTAAGTCTGGAGTCACAACTGAAGACTGCTTTGGATCCCTGCAGCATTAATACGGTGCAAACAGGCGACAAAAAAGTCGACCCCTATGTCCTGGAAGAATGGACAAACAAGCTGCGAGCTGCCACGGATGTTTGCAATAAAGTAAAGCAGGACATGGACAAGCTTAAGGAGGTATGCCCAAAGGTGCAGGTATTGTAAGGTACAAAGCAATGTGTGTGGAGCTAGTGTCTTGCTCAAGGAAAAAAAAAAACATTTCAATGATGATGTCTATATTCTGTAATTTTATTCAGGTAAAATAATTGCAAATATTGAGAATAGAATAAATGTGATTATTACATACTTGTCATTCTAAGCAAAAGGGTAAACATTCTGACACTGTTGTTTATTTACCATCTTTCAGTAGAACCACTGATTCATTATATGCGTACTTAATGCTTCGGTCTGTGTGGCATGAATACTGTTAATTTGCTACCTCTGTGGAATAACGTGTAACGTACTGCAAATTTGTATCCTCAGGCAAATAAGGTATTACGATCTCAAAATGTTGACCTTGTGCAAGAGAATATGAGATTGAAGGCAGAGGTGGTGAGCAGATCTCCTCAGAAGTAAGGATCTTTCTTGTCTTAATGATGCATAAGTTATTTTGATTCTTTCTTTTACTTTGTCTACATGCACTTAGCATTTGGTGCATGTTTCTAATGCTGCTTTTAGACTGCAGGCCACAGTGACCCAAATCATTTTTTCTTTTTGTCTTTTTTCTTTCTTTTTTTGATCTGTGACTCAGATCTGATTTGAACAGTGTGATCAGCCACAGTCACATGGATTCCACTTTAATGTGTGGTCCAAGTCAGACACAGGTTTTTAAAATGCGACCTCAGTGTGGATGGTCATATCAGACTTTGTGCGTCACAATTTTGTGCCACTTGTACGGGCGGAAACAGAGAGAGAGTTATAGGGCTTATATGCGCTGTGCAGTTGCCAGAAACTGTAATGAATTCAATGAAAAGAACATTTTTCATTAATGTAGAGAATTGTGACCACGGGGGACAAAAACAGGAAAGGGCAATGAAAAATCAGGAGGGTTAACAAGTATGAGCAAACCTCTGTTGCCTTTATCTTTTCTTCCATACGAAAGTGTGCTGCGTATGACGTCATATTATTCTTTTGCGCATGCGGGTCACTTTCAGGCCATTGCCAGTTCACACTGGAGTCTTACATTGGGCACATAAAAAAATAATAATAATGTCAATCAAAAAAATTGGATCTCGGCAATAAATCGGAAATTAAGCATTGAGGCCTCCAGTGTGAACATAGCATAAGTCAGTGTCATGGGTAACTGTACAGACAACATTATTTGTTACAAATGGCTGTAGATGCACATTTTAGGGATTGGGAATAATGAACTAATTCAATTCAGTGTTTTTCTAATGAAAATGTCTGAAATTAGAGGCAGTGACTTGCTGCTTAGGTTAATTATTACTGAATGATTTGATTGTGATCCGTCAAGTCAACAACACACAGATCACATTAGAAATGTATTTTTTAAAAGACAAAGTTAAGACCAGTTTCATTTATTTTATATTATTTTTATTTTCAAATGAGCTGTTTTGCATTAGATACATTTGGTTTGTCACACGCATGACACTCAGCTAAATGTTACTTGGCCTCTCTGTCATGATGATCCTTGACCAGTTTAAAGACACAAAATGATCTGTCCCCAGGTTTGGGCGTTACACAGTGGCAGCACTGGAAGCTAAAATCCAGCAGTATGAGCGTGACGTGGACCACTTGAAGAGGGCTCTGGATCGCAGTGACCAGTACATTGAAGACCTGGAGTCTCGGGTCAGTACGTCTGAAAAGAGACAGCTTGAGGTGCAGGAAGCATGTGGCAAGGCTGGGTCAGAAGCTTTCACACAGCAGCAGAAAATCAACATGATGATGAGAAGCTTGAGTGACAATGAGAGGGAGTCGATCTGCAGCAATCCGGAGGCAGAATGTCGAACATTTTCTCGAAATCACAGTTTGATCATGCCATCTGCAGATAAGAAAGAGTTTAATAAGAGTCTGACAGAAGACAATAAAACCGAGGACTTGGAAAGCACTTGCTCTGACCTTTTGCCCACCACTCCGTCCTCTGCCTTCCGGTCCCTAACTCTGAGAAGCCCTGGCATACGTGAAAAGAAAGTTGCATTTAAACCTGTGTCTTATCTGAGGAAGCTTGATTTTGAAGAATTCCCTGTTCCTGGCAAGAGTAGCGGCACCATGGAGAACCAATTCAACAGCCTTGACAAATTCTCCAAAGGTCTGCTTCCAGATACTAACATGGAACCCTCAAAGTCTGTCTGGGATGGTTGGCAGAGATCTAAATCTAATGACCAGTCTTGTCCAGGCCCTTGTAACGAAAGCTCTGTTAAAGGAGCCATATCCACTGATCTTGTAGACGATGAGCCAGATGGTTTCCAGATGTCCAGCGAGGCCTCCATGGATGCAGCATACCTGGACAAAATCTCAGAGTTGGACTCCATGATGCTGGACGGAGAGAGTTCCAGTAGCCGGGGGTCACAGCTCTCCCTGGCTTCCTCTCCTCACACAGACTTGGACAACACTCTCATCTCAGAACCACAAACCTGCCCCGATGTCTTGTCAAGCCGTGGTTGCAAACCTGTGATACAGTGTGACCAGAAGAGCCACCCACCATGTGGCATCTTGAATGACAAAGAGGCTCCAAAAGGCTCTGCACAGGAATGTTCTGCTGCGCTGGTGTCAGACAGGGGGAGCAGTGCCCATGACCCTGCCAGTGCAGAGCATGCAGGGCCCTCTCAGACCGATGAACTGTCTTTTGATTTGTTGTTTGATTCATTGGAAGAGAATAAAGCCGGGCCCTCTGGCTCTCTCAGTCCAGCAAGCCATGATCATGGTCATGTAAACCCTTCTGCCTCCTCTTCTTCCTGCTGCACTGGTAAATCTGTGAACACAAGAGACAGACACGCACTGAACGTCAACCAGCCAACAAAGAGGAAGTCCCACAGTCCGTTTAACACAAGCAGTCCCACAAAACTTTCAAAGCTCATGTGAAGGTTTTAAAAACTGAACCTGTGTGTTTTCACTGTACGACGCACTGGTATGTTTTTGGTCAGGAAACATTAACTCAATGTTGCTTCAGAATAAATTTGTGAATGACATGCTCGGGTCTAACTTATTGTCTGAAATTGTCATTTTGTCTGTGATATTGTAAAAATGAAATATGACAGGTTTATCAGATAGTTGTTGTTTTGTGTAGTCTACTTATCTACTACTAATGGGACTAACATTTTTATTACACTGTAGTACATCACAAATTTGTCAAACATTCGTTCAGCCTACTTGTATGTTTTTGTCATTTCAGTAAACATGATTTTTATGACATTCAGTACTGAAGACAAACATGCATGAAAACCAATCATAGTTTGAAAAAAACATTGCAATGTAAGAGTGTTAGGAAATAAAATAGTAAAGCAATGAAAAAACAATGTATGAATCTTGTGTTTTTCTGTATTTTCTATGATCCTTTTCCAGTGATTTGACCATATGATTTAAGTCACCTCTACCAGTCTTGAGGATTTACCTGCTGTCAAAGCCTAGTATTTTGTGTTGAATTTTCCATATTGTGATTTCAGGTAGAACGGTATTAATATTTTGTTCTACTTTTCCTGATTAGCATTATATCAGTAACAATTATTAATTTGCTGCCATTGAAAGTCGAAAAGGCATAGCTTAGTTATGCCGTTAAAAGCATGTTGTAGCCTATAACGACACACATTGGAGACCACACAAGCACAGTAATTCCATTGTAGCAGGAAGTGCCTTATTTATTATGCAAATTTAACGATATCATGTATATTTCACATACCTCTAATTGCTGCATGCAATTTTAATTGGGTAACCGTTGTGGTTTGAATAAATGAAGTGTTAATTCATTGGGATTAATTAATTTAGGTAAAGACTACAAGGTTATGGTGGTGTATTAAATCAATTTGTTTAGTGCTCATCTGGCGATGATGGGCTTCAATGACAAGGCGGCGGTCTCTTTACTTCCGAGGGTTAAGATGAGAAGCGGGACAGTGGGTCAAGAGCCTACTGGCAAACCGTGTAACCAAACATTTAAGCATGTGGCATGGGTGTGAACTGATAAAGTCAATAAATATATAAATGTCAACTTTTCATACTGAGCCGCCTGTATAATATTGCTTTCCTGTCATGCATTTTTGTGGGCTGTTAATTTTTTTAATTAAAAACACATCACATCATTTATGATATTAAATGCTAAGCCATATTTTTTTTTACACTTCCCTATAATTCTATATAAAAACAACAAACAGATGGAAGATCAGTCTAAAGTGTATGGCTGCTAAAATAGACAGCGTTATGTCAATGGTTTTATTGCCTCTAAGTAAAGAATAAGGCCTAAAGGCATTGGGACCGGCGAAGTTCCGTAGCTGGATGGAGTGGAGTGAGCCCTTAAAAACGCGTCTAGTCTCCAGATGTTACCGCCTGCCCTGTGAGCAGTTTTTATCTGTCAGGCTGTTCACTGTTCTGGCAGTTTGTGTCTCGCGAGAGCAGCCGAGCACGGGCTTGACGAGATCTGAGGCGCTCAGGTGTAAGAGCCTCTCTCATCCCCAGCAGTGGGAAACCGTAGACAGATAAGTGCGTCTGAGAGACTGCAGGCATCTCTGTGATCTCCGGGCTCAAGGCTGCACTCGGCGCACTACACAGCGAACTACACGGCATCATTACTGGATAGGCAAAGGACCACTGTGTATCTATGACTATTTTCCAGCTCTTGTAGCCGTTTCCCCCCCTTTTTCCCGTGCACTTTAATTGGAGAACCTCGCCAAGATGATGTCCATGAACAGCAAACAGCCGCACTTCGCCATGCATCCCTCTTTACCCGAGCACAAGTACACCACCCTGCATTCCAGCTCGGAAGCTATAAGGAGAGCCTGCCTACAAACTCCACAGGTAAATGATCCCCCCAAAACTTCGACTTTGTCGTTTTTTCGTGCCTAGGCTGCTTGTAGCGCTGAACTATGTCTGTGCGTAATAACAAGGGCTGCTCCGAGGCACATTCAGCCAAGACGCGCTCTTAATGTTTTTTTCATGTATTCCACTGCAATCACTCGAAGAGACTTCTTTTTGAAAGCATGCTCACTTTGCAAAGCCTTCTTTACTGTTTTTGTATTAATTTTTATGACGTGCCGCTTCTGAAGGAATACTCCGGCTGTGTTATGTGTCGCCTGAAGTCCCGACTGACTATATTTATTTGTCTTTTTCTTTTTCTGCTGTCTTCCTTTCTTCCCCGTGTCTCATCCCTTTTCTTGCCCATCTACCACCCCTTCATTCTGCCTTCCTCTCCCTTTTCATTTCCGCACTTGCAGCTGCAGAACAACATATTTGCGAGCCTGGATGAGACCCTGCTGGCCCGGGCTGAGGCTTTGGCGGCCGTGGACATCGCCGTGTCCCAGGGCAAGACGCACCCGTTCAAGCCCGACGCCACCTACCACACGATGAGCACAGTGCCAGTGCCATGCTCGTCGACATCCACTGTCCCACTGGCCCACCACCACCATCATCACCACCACCACCATCACCAGAACCTGGAGCCCCCGGACATCATGGACCACCTCAGCTCGCCGTCCCTTGCCCTGATGTCCAGTGCGCACGACGGGACCGGCGGTGGAGGTGGCGGGGGCGGCGGAGGTGGCGGCGGAGGGCTCATCTCCACCTCCTCCCACCCGCACTCTCACATGCACGGCTTGGGTCACCTCTCCCACCAGGCTATGAGCATGAACTCGCCTCTCACCCACCACGGGCTCTTACCGGGCCATCACGGAGGGGGTCAAGGCGGCCCAGGTCTCACTAACACCGGACTCCCCTCCATCAATGACTCGGACACAGACCCAAGGGAGCTGGAGGCTTTTGCGGAGCGCTTCAAGCAGCGGAGGATCAAGCTTGGGGTGACCCAGGCGGACGTGGGCGGCGCTCTGGCTAATCTCAAAATCCCCGGCGTGGGATCACTGAGCCAAAGTACAATTTGTCGATTCGAGTCGTTAACTCTCTCCCACAACAACATGATTGCGCTCAAACCTATCCTTCAGGCCTGGCTGGAGGAGGCCGAGGGGGCCCAAAGGGAGAAAATGAGCAAACCTGACATTTACAACGGAGGGGAGAAGAAACGCAAGAGGACCTCGATAGCGGCCCCAGAAAAGAGGTCTTTGGAGGCTTACTTCGCCGTACAGCCTCGACCGTCGTCCGAGAAAATAGCAGCTATTGCTGAAAAGTTGGACCTGAAAAAAAATGTGGTGCGAGTGTGGTTTTGTAACCAAAGACAGAAGCAGAAGAGATTGAAATTTTCAGCTACTCACTGATGGGTGAGGAAAAGAAAAGAAAAAGTTGTGTGACTGAATTTGGGGACCAAGGGACACTAAGACACCATTTTCAGTCTTTTGTCTCCAGCGATTTTACACGTTGGTACACAATGGGCTTTAGATACCCATTTTATTATGAGGCTTCATATATCTTGTTTATTTTCACGTTATCGGTGAATGTGAAGTATGCAAATAACAGATTACACAAATTTCGCTCAGTTGTTTCGAGGGAAAAGTTTAGCGACGTCGACATTGCCTTTTAAATCACGTGGAAAGAGGTAATTTGCTTGATACTATAGCGAGTTATTTTCTCCAAATAGGCCTATTATTTGAAGTAATATAGCCATTTACGAATTACCTCATTGATTGTTGAACTGTGTTTTGGTTTGATTTTTGTCGTTGTTGGTAGAATAATTCATGAATCTGTTCATTTATTCACCAGTTCAGTTTGGAGGCTGCTATAAACTCAAATTTAGTTGCAAACATTTATGGCTAACGAACAAAATGTAGGCCTGCATGAAATCCGTATTCACGGGCAGTAATTTAGCCTCTATAGGCTGTTACATCTATAGATATATTTATTTTGAATTTGCACAAAAGACCCCTTAGGTTTATAGATCGGTTATTTCGAAATGATTTTGTATATACAGACATCACTTTGTCACCTATCAGAGTTGAGCTCCTGTATTTTGGAAATAAATTATGGGTCTATCAACACCATTGGCATCACTTGGAAAAGTTTCAAACACATCCAGAGAGCACGAAAGCCTTGTCAGCTTCATCAAGGAGAGATCAAAATGGAAAAAAGAAAAAACTAAGTTTTCTTTCAAGTGTTTCAGTTTGCAGTGCAAACACACTATGCATTGGAAAAAAAACTCACTGCGTACAGTAGAGCTGTCTACTGGTAGACCTGATGTTGTGGATGGTGTAAGTCACTGTTAAATGCCTGTTTTCACATTAAGATCACCACGTTGTTTGTCGTGTTAATTGTTACGGAAACGTTGTGTAAGTAATATTTTACTTTGTGCACAAGTATGTTTACAAATCTGCGGCGTTCATGGAAAATGTCCCACTGTCTCCTTCCCTCTCTCACAACTTCTCCACTCTCCTCTGTTGTCCTCTTACTTTCCTTGGTACTATTCATCCTGTAAGCCAAATCCAACAGGGAGGTGTGTTCCAGCAATCTTCTAATAAATTGAAGAAAGAAAACTATGTTTTTCTGGTTGTGATTGGGCCCTCACTAAACATAATTATTGAGGTTTTAATGTACAATTTGGTTGATTGGTTAAAAGTGTTTTTATGGCCACAACTTGAATTCCGACGTTATTTAATTTTAGATGTCAGTTTTGGTATGATTTAAAATTGCTTAATTTTACCGTTTTCTCCTTCATTTGTACCATCGAGATAAAACGTTCATCAATCGAAATAATGCTTGGATGACTTCACAGTTTGTCTCATTTAAGGTTAAGAAGCCATCATGCAAAGGATTTTAAAGGATAGTTAGACGAAAACACACTTTTAAAAATGAACATTTCTTGTTTTGCCTAGTTATTTTCCCTAATACATTTGTGTGCCAATGTGAAACTAAATTTCTAACATGTAAAATAATAATAATAATAGCCACCTACCTGATAGACTAACAATCAGTGTTTGAGCAAATTTAAGGAATATAACATTTTTAAATGGTACAACAGTTCTAATTATTATAATTAGAACAGTGATTAAAACAGGCAGGCCTAATTGGTATGTTGTGTTTTTAGCTGCCCATATATTTGAACGTTTGCGCACATAATGGGCTTAATTACAACAGAATAGGCTTTTAAATGAAAATGAAATGAAACTTTGGATGTCTGGATAAAGTTGCCGCCTTTTGCGGTGTTGAAACAGACCTAACAATCAAAATTTAATGAAGTTTCACAGCAGTCAGAATAACTCAGCAGCTGACACCAGAGAGAGAGAGAGAGAGAGAGAGAGAGAGAGAGAGAGAGAGATTAAAGAAAAGAAGAAGAAAAGTTGATTTATTTAAAATGACCACTGTTTGACCCTCCACCCTCCTTCATATATTTCTATTCACTTTATACTTTGAATTTTTTTGGTTGGCTTCCCTTTTCGTTGAATTCACATATATATAAATATATATGTGAATGCAACGAATGCAACGAATATATATACATATATATAAAACAATTTTAAATGCAGGTAATGCAATATTAATCGCGGGTTGCTGATATAAAATGCAATATTTTCAGACAGCTATCGGGTTTCAGGGGAGGCAGGCGGATGGAGAAATCCGCTGTTAAACAGCAGATAAAGCTGCACCTTATTGCTTTTCTTTAGCTTTTGGCTACATGGACAGAAGTGTGAGCGATTCCTTAACGTGAGTAAAATATTGTTAGTTTGATTTAGTCACTTTCTTAATTGTTAGGCTGTTTTATATATATATATATATATATATATATATATATATATATATATATATATATATATATATATATATATATATATATATATATCGGCACAGATAGCATCTTTAGATGTCAGTTTGTCAAAAGTATTTTTTTCCATGGTAAGTTGTAGATCATTACAATACTTAGTGATGTTGCCAGTCCACACTGAACTGCCTCGCTTTATTCTTTAAAGTTCATAAGAAATAATGCCAAACGTTTGTAATTGTAATGTAAAGATTACTAGAAGGAAAGAGCGAAAAAACAGGACATATTTTTAAATTTACCTCCAAAAAACTTAATCTCGCTACCGTGAAAACACAAAATATTTCCTCCAGATATTTTATCGTTTATCCTATTTTATTTTTATCGCAGCACAAACGGATATGGAGAAACTGTCTTGGAGAGTTTATGCGTAATTGGTGTAATTGCAGGTTTCTTGATTTAGTTGATCAACTTTAGTTTATTAAATTCTGACTTTTCGACGCGTTTCACAGCATCTGATCAGTGTTCATTTCTTAATGTAGCAGGCATGTGTACCTGTATTTATGTATTTCCTGTATGTAGCCTTAATATCTATCTATCTATCCATCTATCTATCTATCTATCTGAGTTCAATGTTTCCCTAACTAACACAACCTACCGAGAGTAACACAACACCGCTGGCACTGAACACACTGAACTCGCGGCACCACACGTGCCACATGGCAATAATTTCAGCACCACGAACAGCTCCGCTGGCGGATTGAAGAGTAATGCATTATTGAAAGCCTATATCAAACAGCTCTGGGGTGCTGTCTCTCTGCACAAGGGCTCTGGATGAAGTCGGACTGTCTGCCAGCACAATAGCCTCTAATATGTTAATGGCTGTAGGGGATGCCTGAGGTACCTTCCCCAGCTGCCTCGCCTACCATATGTCAGTCCGCTACGACAGAGTCCTCTATTAATCAGGGGGGTATTTCATCGGTAACTTCACCGATATCATAACCCTTACAGCTCTATCAATAGTGGGCCGCAGAATCGCCTGATCATATAGGTAACATTTTTGCTTGGACCTGTAAGGGCCTTCTCTATATATTCATGTCCAGATAATTTAGGTGACCACACCCAATATTATAATTATAATTATTATTATTGTGTAACAGTGTTTGCGATTCTATCTCTGCATTAATCACATCCTTTTCTTCCTCTTTCGTATCCTTGCATATAGGCTGTAGGCCGCGATGGATTAATCATGGAGCCTACCAAAGGATCTCATAACTTAATTCCTTCAGGCTACTAGTCAGGGGAGTAATTAATCTATACCGTGGATGTAAATAAAAGGAAATTGGATTCCTGACAGACGAGATGAGAGACTCTCTGACACCACGTCGCCAAATAATGATTTCACCACACGTTATGGTAACGCAGGCACTCAGATTTACGAGCGCATGACTTTTTACTATAGCTCTGAGCGGAAGGGAGTGGACCTACCCTAATCGCAGCTGTTAGGCACCCAGGTTAAGATGGATTAGATCATTATAATTACAAGACTACTAGCTAAAGTAAAAATAAATGGAGAGCGCACACATAGGCTACTGCGTTGGTTCCGTTTTGTTGAATTGGCTTATGTCTTGTTCTTTTCCTTGTTTCAGACATTGCTCTACTTCTGCTGTATCTTAAAACAAAAGCTCCCATCGAGGGCTTCCTTGATCTAACAATGCGCAGGAAGGTTGGCCTTTGGACGGAAATGTCAAAACGGGGATGTGGATGGGTAGATCCCCCAGATCTGCTCTCATTTCCCGCTTATATTTGCTCAGTAATCCGCAGTGGCAGTCCTCCATCGCTCGGGACCCGGTTTGAGAGGCGATGCTGTTGACACAGGGGTATATTTCAATCACAGAGGGTTCAGAGTCAGACGAACAACTTATTTGTCTAATAAATCCGTCATTTAATAAGAAAAATATTTGATCTTGAGGGGCTGACCTCTTGTCATGTAGCTACTGACAGATAAAAAAACGGGGATGTGCTTCATGGATATGCAGGTAGCCTGCATACCAAAAAGCACAGAATAGATTCCCATTTGTATGGAGCACACACACATAACAAACAGATCAAAGTCTGTCAGCACACATCTTTTTGTTGTTGGTTTCGTTAACAAAAAACTAGAGCTGAAAGACACAAAAAAGTTTTCTATAGTCTAGAGGAGAAATGGAGGATGAAACAATTCAGATGCCTTGCATCAAAGATGTGACTAAAATAATTAGTTTAGATTTTTAAAAACATAATCCATTGGAGATTGTGAAGATTAACCTCTGTGCCATTGTTTCACTTGAAACAAATAAAATGAGAGCCTTTAATCAAGCATTAATTAAAGTGCATTGTCAACCAAATATGTTGGACAGCTGAAGTCTGTAGAATGCCAAACCAACATTTTTTGGTACTTTAAATAATTTCATTAATATTGTCCAGCCCTGCACAGTCAATCAAGTAGTAACTGTAATGGGCCACTTAAAGTTGTGAAATCAATAAAGCTGTTCATTTATACAACTTCAACTCTCCAAGTTCACCATCCGTTGCAGTTTTCTCTAAAATCTTTTTGTCAGGGCCTGCAATCTTTTTCACTGTTCTGTTTCCCATAGAGTCCACTCTAAATTACACTCTAACTTTATGAACAAACGTTTGAGGCTTTAAAACAGCCTTACAGCCACCCTGCAGCTTTATTTTTAATCATATGGATTGCTTAAACATTTATTTCTTCCCACTATAGATTAATATGGAGTTTTCACTGAAAGGGTTAATTCAACTGATTAAACACAGTTACAACCAGTGAGAACGTCTAACAAATGACTTGCTGTTCAGTTTGATTGTAACAAAAATCTGCATACGTGCCTCTTAATATGATTGCATAGCCCTGAAATCGCTCACAGGATAGCCTGTGATTATGTTTGGTGTCATGCCTCAACCTTTTGGCATCTGCTGAAAGTAACTGGCAACACCTGCATTTGTCCACTTTACAGTAGGCCTTCATAAAAATGAAACAAGCATCACTCTGTACAGCTTAAGATATGCACATCCTTTAGGCTACTACATGTAACAGTTTTAATCCCTCAATCATCAAATTATCTAACGGAGTAGGCTACTTAATTGACTGTCAACCTGCCCTTGCAGTTGATGTAGAGTCTATAGAGAAAGCCTCAAAACAAAGCTGACTATGTTTTAACTCCCTTGTGTGGCCCAGACACAACAACCATACTGATGACGTGCAGCATTAAAACATCAAAACAGCCCTCAACGTCTACACTGGTTCTTTGCGGGATGTTTCACCTACAAAAAATATGTATGGCCATCTTAATGCCACTTTATGCTAAATCTGCTTTACTGCCTAAATGTAGCCAAATTCATTTCCCAAGTCCTGCCTCTTAAGAGCCTCCATTGCCCCGGGCGCGGTGCTCTTTTAACCTCTGTATTGAACCCATTTCCCTGTCGTCATTACCCACACGTGCTGCAGACACATGGCGCGCGGAAGAGAGAAGCGCACGCGACCGGAAACAATAGGCAAGGCAGCACCATATAAGGGGATTCCACGTCAATGCCGGTGTAAACTGAAGCAAAATGTGAGTAAAATGCAATTATGGGTTCGTCAACAAATAGGCATATAGCTATTCCTGCAATTTCATGTAACCTAGAAAAATCGAATATTATAGCCTACCAAATTATTACCTATGTATGTAGGCTTTGTTTCTTACAAA